CCTTTGGGCAGTTCCTAGCCATATGCCCAGGCTGATGGCAAAAAAAACAAACATTGGAGCCCGTTAAGCATTCACCTCTTTGCATTTTGCCACACTTCTGTTGAAAATCAATTATGGTTAGGAAATAAAGCCAAATCAATTATGGTTTTCTTTACACTAGAACCTCCAGAATGAGTCTGGAAGCTCCTGGTCCTCTCAAAGCCCTTCCTCTTCTGTTGAAAATCTCTCATCTTCTGAACAGCTTGAAAATCAATCTCCAATCGCCTTGCTTTTTCCACCAATACAGCATAATCATCAAAGGTAAAGGGAAGCAATGGCTGACGTATAGCATCTCGAAGCCCTGCTAAAAACTTTTGGCACTTATCTTCAGTAGTAGTAATGAACGGAGAGGCATAGCGGGACAGTGTAGTAAACTCCGATTCATACTGCATAACTGTCCGCTCCCCTTGCACCAGCCTCAAGAATCTCTCCTGCATCTGACTCCTCACAGAAGGAGGTATAAACCAATCTCTGAAGACTTTCACAAAGTCCTCCCATAAGATCTGGGAATCTGGTCTACCACGAAACTTCTCCAAAGATTGTCCTCGCCACCATCTCTCAACCTCACCATCTAGAGCAAAGGTGGCTAAAGTCACCCTTCGTTCATCAGGACATTGCATTCCTTCCAGTATCTTTTCAACTCTCAAAAGCCAGTTTTCAACATCTACTGGCTCTCCTACTCTAGTAAAGAGTGGTGGTCGCATGTCTTGGAAAATCTTCAGATATTTGTCTACTACTGGCTCCCTCCTGGAACTAGTCTGGGGCTGTTCCTGAGAATGCTGTATCAAATGTGTGACAGCTGCCATCATCTGATTAAACGTATCCATAGTCGTACTACTACCACCAGTAGGTTGTGCTACTGAAGGTAAGGTTGGAACCTCTCTAGAAATGGGATCATTATGCCCATCTGTGTTACCATCAGTGGCATCGGGTTCATGATCCATAGCCCTATACAAAGGAAATAAAGCCAAATCAAACAGATGCACATTATTACACCATCCTAAAATACTACAGCTACTGTCGAAAAGTTATCAATCAACCTAATGGCGCTTATACAGATTCAAATCCTAAACTCTGCTCTGATACCACTCTTGTCACGATCCGGCCCGGTTAGCTCGTAGATACGAGGCGGGAACGAGATCGGACGTAAAATTTATTTCTCATCAACAATTCCATTCAATTTTAG